CTGCGGCGACCGGATGCGGCACGCGGGACCTCCTCCCGCGGCGCGGCTTCCCTCCTCTTCGTCTTCGTCCCCGCCCCCGTCCTCCTCTTCCTCTTCCTTGTCGAATTCCATCCTCCTCCTCTTTTTCCCCCTCCATCCGTGTCCATATAAATAAATCCCCATATCGCACCCCCACACGTGTCAGTAGGGCGGGCGGGGCATTTCGCGTGAGACCTCCTCGCCATTTATGATCATGAAGCTTAGAATCTGCAACAACTTCACGGATGGAGGGCGCAGCGATGTAGCGCCGCCCACATGTGCATTGCCATCCTCGATGAGCCCTCACACCGGTGCGATAGCGGTCTTAAAGGAGAAGAGAAACACGACGGCGATCACCCTTCTGTGGGCGGCGGCACTCGGGGCCCTGCATGCAGAGCACCCACCACTCCCAGGAATTTGATGCCCCTCTCTGCGATGGGACCCGCAAAACGCGTGGGATCAGAGGCGGAAACCCGGGCCCCCCACCCGCGCACTGCCGGCGCCAGGGGGCCCGCCGCCTCCACCCCCCACCCATCCCCCACTCTTTTTAAGACGCCGCCACAACTGCGCGCCACTCGCACGCGAACGAAATCCGAAAGGCGCTCGAAGCCCTGCTCAGCCTCCATTGGGTTCTCCGCGGTGCCCCCCCAGGCTCGGCGCCGCTTCGAGCGGGCCCCGCCCTCCGCGCGCTCGGCGAAGAAGACGGCCAAACGTCCGTTTTTTCGATTGGGCCCGGGCTGCCCAGGCGCCCCCAAGGTTGTCCGTCCTCGCGGGAGCCCTGCCGGGCCAGCCCGCCTCGCCCCCGCCCCGGGAGGGGGCAACCGTCTTCCGCAGCTGCCTGCGCGCGCCGACGAGCCCCTCGCTCGCCGCCGCCCAGCTCGACCCCCCGGCCGCCCGGCCCCGCCAGCAGCCCCCCCAAACAAAGGCGGGGGATTGGGGGGGCACATTGCCACGGGCACTGGGCGCCCCGAGCCCGCTGCACTCTCGCCCCCGTGGATGGCGCCTCCTTCGCGGGCGGCGACGCCGAGGGGGGCTGACCCCGATCGCCCCAAGGCCTCCCCGCGCCACGCCATGGCGCGCCAGGAAGCCGACAGGCGCCGGGGCGGGGCGACGTCGCAACAAATGGGCGCATGTCTCGATGCCTCGTGGGCTCGAGCAGGTTGGACTCGACCGACCCCGCTCGCCTGCGAGCTGCCCCGCGGCCCGCCGCTACGCCTCTGCGGGGGGGGGGGGGGGGGGGGGCGAACGCGGCCCAGCTCCGAGCCGCCGTGCTCCCTCTTTCTGGAGCGCCGCAACCGCCGAGGGGGCGTCGGCGTTATTGCCGCATAAGCAAAACCCGCGAACGCCATCCCGCAGGCCCCGCTCGCCCCCGCCCGCCCCCCCCCCGAGCCGCCGCGCACCGCGCGCGGCCGCGCGGGGGGCGGAGGAGAGCGGGGGAGGTCGCACACGCCAGCGCGCGAGCAGGGCCCCCGCCCCAGGGGGTCGCACGGAGCCCCGCTGCCGCACGCCTCGCGCCGCGCCCACTCCCCCTGGGGGGGGGGGCCCTTGTCCGCGCCAGGTCCACGATGCACCCGCTGAGCCGGGGAACCGCGCGGCCCCTCGTCTGACCCCTGCCCGCGCCGGGAACCATCTCTACGTCTGCGACGACTCACCAGCCTCGAGGTCGAGCGGAGAGCCCGTCGCCCTGCGCTGCGTCTGCCGCGCGCCCTGCCCCCCACCTGACCCCACAAGCCAAATCGGCAGGGGCCGGCTCGCGCGGCGCGCGCGCTCTGTCGCTTACGCAGTCGCTGAAGTACCCGAGCGTCGCGGGCCACGGGACCTCGCGCACGCTCGAAACTCGAGAGCCGCCTGCGCCCCGTCGCAACGGCCCGCCCGCGCGTCTCCACCGCCCCGATGCGCGCGCAGCCCGCGGCGCCGCCGCTCGCCCGCCCCCGGCCCATGCCAGGCCGCGCCGCCTCGGACGATGGCAGGCCCATCTCCTCCATCTGCGCGACCCAGCGAGGTTTCCAGCGGGCCCCCCCACGCGCCCCTGGCCCGATGCGGCCCCCGCCGGCGGCGCGCGGCGCCTCCGAAGGAAGCGGGCCCCCGTCTTCAGACTGACCCCGCGGCGGCGGGGCCGGCCACTCCCGGGCCCCCCGACCCGCTGAGACACGCCGCGACGCCCACCGCAGTCTCTCCACAACTCCTCTGCCACTGTTCGGATCACTAGCTCCCTCAACGGCCGCCGCGTCTCACCACGCCACGGCCCCCGCGGCGCAGGAGCCCTCGGCCGCAACAACCTGCTCGAGCGCCCCCGCTCGCCCCCGCCACTTGCGCCCGACGCGGGCCGGCGACGCGGCGGCCGTCGGTCGCCCCGCCGCCTTCCGCAGCCGCTTCAGCGCCTGCCCCTCGCTGCCGGCTGGCCCGCGAGCCCCCTCGCCTGCGTCTCCGCGGCGCGTGGGCCCCAGCCGCCGCCGCCTGCCCGAGCCCCCCGGGCGCGGGCCTGCCTGCCAAGGGCGCGCGACGCGGGCCGATGTGGCAGCGGTCGCGGAGCACCTTGCCGACCGCCGCCGAGCGGAAACGATCTTTGGCGGGGCGCCCCTCCTCTTCGCACCTGACTACTCGTGCCCAACGGCGCGTCGTTCTCTGAGCGGCCCCAGGCGAGGGCACCCCCCACGTTGGGCGGCGAGCTGTTCGATCAGCCACCGACCCTCCGCTCCTCGAGGTCGCAAGGATGAGATCGAGGGGGCCGCCTCCGCTTCGGGGAAGGGCGCCCCCCCCACCGCACACACACACACACACACACACACACACACAGCTGACCGCACTCCTCCGATGTGATTGGCCGCCTCAACAGCTTCACGTAGCACTTCGCGGTCTTGGCGACCTCTATGCTGGCGTCCGCGTTCGGCCTCTGTCCGAAGATGGCCTGGCCCCTCCTGAACCATTCGCCGAACAGGTCCTCGAAGTCCCTGACCATCCGCAGCTCACGCCCCTGAATCCGCCGCGCCTCCTCCAGCAGGTCTCTGCCTGGCGTGCCCGCACGCGGGTGCCCCATGTCGCACGGAACTAGCATGTCCTCCTCGTTGGTAGGAGCACCCTACAGCACTGTCCGCATTGCCGCGGGTGCTGATCCTTCTCAAACATCGGCGCCGTCGGTGGCCCCATGCCCAGGGGAGTTTCGATCTCCGTCTGTGGTGGGTTGGGCGGCTGCTCTGGGGAGTTGAGGAAGACGTGGGCGTGAAGTCTACTGAAGTCTCTGTTTGCTGCCACGGCCATGTTTTCGACCTCCTGGTCCTTGGCGGGGAGGTCATCCTGTTTTCGTCTTCGTCAGCCATCAGCTGCGCCCCTCCGGACCCGTGCCTCGGGCGCCGCAGGTACCCCCCTGGTCTTGAGCCGAACAAGTCCCAGTCGACAGAAGGTGCGAGTGAGGTAGATGCCTCTTGCCCAGGTTCCCTCGGTCTCCGCGGCGGCCTACCCTCCTCACGCGTCGGCGGGGCCCTGGTCCCGAAGGGTCGCGCGGAGCCCCGTCGACGCTCGCAACCGCTGTCGCCCCGCCGCCGGCGCCCGACTCTGCCACTTCGGCAGACAAGCGGGCTGCATGTCCTCACGGAGCTGGGGGGGCACCCTGCCCAAGATTGCCTGGCACCGCGGTCGGCGGCGCCTGCCTGCCCGAACCCACGTGGTCTCCGCCTGCCACGCATTCTTCCGACAGCACTGCCAAGCCCTGGCGGGCGCGACTGGGGCGGGCCAGGGGCTTTCCTTAGCGGGCCAGTCTGCCCCTGTCCTTGACCTCTCCGACATGGAAGCTCTGTGCTGCCCAACACTGGCGTTCCAAAGCCGACACGAAGGCATCTCGCGACCCGGACCCATGCCTACCTGCCCTGGCTGCCTTCGATCAGCTCGGCCGAGGGTATCCCTGCGTACTCCTGCCGCCCTTCCTCTGGCGACTCGGACACCGTCCTCGCCGCCCCCCGCGGGGAGCTGCTGCGGCGCGCTGGAAGTCTCACCCCGGGCCCGCTGCAGCGCCGAACTGGTATCCAGAAGCGGCCGAGCGCCTGAGCCCGGATGGCCGCAGACGTCGGGCACGGAAGGGGATACGCACTCGTGCTGACGCACGGGGAGAGTTTGCAGCGGCGTTGCGGATGGAGGACAGATGGCGTTCAAAGTGTGGTTTTCGCCTTACCGCCGCGCACACTCGTCGCACAGAAGGTTCACCAACAGTTTTGAACATGGAGAGCGGCTCCTCTTCAGAATGTCGACCAGACTCCCCTCTGTAGCGTTCATGTCTACAGTGCTCACTTTCGTTATGAGGTTCGCAAAGGGCCGCACATGCAAGCACATGCCGTACAATCGTATGCACATGCTCATACAACAAGTCTCAACAACATGGCCGCACATGCGCGCAGATGCCAGACAGTCCGATGCACAGTCGGATGCACAGCCTGAATAAACTCTGACAGTACAAACGCAAATACCCGCACATGCCGCAGAGTCGAGGACTCGGATGGGGGACAGAGGCACACATGGGGAGGAAAAAAGACAGATGAAAGAACAATGAGGGAAGGAGTAAGTAAAAAGAGGCAAGCGGATGTGACTAGCGTTCGAGCGGCAACATACTACCCAAATGAGGGACGTGGCAGGCGACAGCACCAGTCGAACAAAGGGATGTGGCCAGCGTTCAGATGATGTATCACGCGAGGGTGTCTCAGGCAGAAGTGGACTGACCACCTCAGCTCAAAGCATCTCGGAACCCAGAGTTGCGAGGAAGTCTCAAGCGAAAGTGGCCGGACCACCTCGCCTCAGGGCACATCGGAACTGAACATTTCCAAGCTCACAGTTGCGAGGATGTCTGAGGAAAGTGGCATGACCACCTGATCACAGGGCATCTCGGAACCCAGAGTTGCGAGGATGTCTCAGGCGAAAGAAGCTAAAACATGATGGGGCAGGGCATCTCCGACGTCAGAGCTACGAGGATGTCTCAGGCGAAAAAGGCCTCAACA